TTCAGCAACCACTTCTTTACATCATTGGGCAAAGAAGGGGGAACCTTTTGGGTAATCACTTCCCATAAAGGTCTAGCACCCCAGTAAGCATCAAATCTGTCTACTTCTTGAGAAATAGGGTACTCAAAGGGAGGACGAAGATCCCCGGAAGGAATATTCTGAAGCAAGTCGTATTGTCTTTTTACCCTGCAGGGATAATAATAAGTTACACGAGACAAGCTTGGAAGACGGCAAAAAGGCTGCTTGTTAACACCAACCATCCTTTCTATTTTCCACCATGGGACGACTCACTTGATAGCAAAATCACGTGATTCAAAGAATTTTCCCCACCCATGGCGCCCAATTTTAGGGATGCTCTTCTTCCTTCTCACGAAGCAATTGGGTGTATATTTTTCAATATCGTCCGGAGGGCTAATTAATCCTAGCCTCTGCATTAGCCACATCTGTAAAAAAAATTACAATGCAAATAAATTGTTATTACAATACAAAAATATATTATTTGATTTCTGTAATTAAAAATATTATTTTTCTACCAGTAATAAAATTGGAGAACCGCGAAGAGGCGCTTTTGGGTCCCTTTTCAATTCATCTAGACTAATCATAGTCTCTCCAGCTATTAATGGCATTGGATTTCTCCCTGATTCAATTTGTTCTAGTACAGTGGTTATAATTGATTGACCCTCGTTATTTTTACCACTACTAAGAAAAAATTGGTTAAGCATGCAAAATAAGAACTCCCTTCTTTTATATATATGAAAAGATTCAGAAAGAGGTTTACCAAAATAATGGCATGCAAATTCTTTCAAATTAACTATATTGCCATCCACTATTTTTGATAAATCCCTTTCCTTTAAATTAAAGAAGCGCTCAAAATCCTTATAATAATATGCATCTACTCTAGGGATTGCTATAAGGTCTATCTTAGGGAAGCCTAAGATAGCACCAAATTCCTTCGGCAAAGGGCTAATCTCATCATACCCTATTCTGAAACAATGAGTATCAACATTCCAAAATTCTAAAGCGATATGTATGAAGTCTAGGTCAATATCTACCCCTTTGATGCCATAAATTCCCCCCAGGTGAAATAAGTCTAATTCTTTTCTCTCCCTCGCATTAAGAGATCGACACCATTCATGAGTGTATTGGGTGAAGGTCTTGGTGACTAAAGACATAATTATTGTTTTTATATAGAAGAGAATTATTTATTCGCTGGAATTATGAGAAGAATCGACTAGGCAGGGGGATTTTTATACAGAAACTGCGAGGAATTTTAATCAGATTAAAATACAGCATCAGCGTCAATTGGCGCCAGCCGCCAGCGCTTGGCGCCACACGCTTAAGTGTAGCGCCTGGCGCCACGCGCCATAGTGTGGCGCCACCTGGCGCCAAGTTGCCAGATCAGCCGCGCGTCCTCCACTTGCGTTTTTAATATTAAACTCGAGTCAGTTAATGACTTTATGGCTCTGTTTAATCCTATTCTATCCTTTTTCCTAATTAATTAAATATAGATATTATTTTTTTTAATTTTTATTATTCTTTTTTGGACTTTATTTTAATTTCCAAACACCCGACATTTCATTCGATTTTTTCCTTTTTTATTTTTTCTTTTTGGGGGAGAGAGTCGGATACCATCCATCAATAATAATAATGTTGGAATTTGTGCGCAAAATTGTTGTCACACTTTTCTTGCACACACAAACACACACACAACAGTAAATAAACTCATAATGGCATAAATATACAAAATGTGTCTATAAATAATGAGTCTAAGGCAAAGTTCTACAAAAAAAGTCAAAATAAAATATACACAGGAATAAACTACTGCGCCGGAGGACGTATGCCCATCATGTCATAAAATTGCGCCGTACGAGGAGTCACCTCTCCACCAGCTCCAGCTCCAGTCTCCGTAGGAGGAGGAAGACTCAATATAGGACCACTCTAGCCAAGATCAACCTAAGGCTGAGGCCGAGGAGGCTGCTGCGATGACGAGCCTACCTCGTACATCCCACCACCTCTAAAAGCCGAGGTAGCCTCTCCTACCGGTGCAGCATGAGCACCCTCAGAAGAAGATACCAAGCCCTCTGCAACATCAGCTCGAGCAGCCTCAGAGCGACCGCCTCTGCCTCCTGACGAAGTGCGACGACGTCTCGAACTGGACCTCGTTGGATCCCTCCGCCCCTCAGGTCTCGCGCGGGTGTGAGAAGAGATAGGCTGGCCCTGCAAAAAGAGTTAAATCAAAAACAAAGTAAAATTGAAGCAGCAATGCAAAAATAATGAGCAAAGAAAGGCTACCTCTCGGATGACATCATCCTGACGGCAAGTGGTCGCATTCCTCATCCGGACGAGCTGGCTCTGGAAGGCATCTATGCATCGTGCCATCGCCGAAACCACCTCGCGTGAAAACTGTCAGAAAAATAAGTCAGTAAAAAATGCATGATATATGAACACAAAAATTCTGAAAAAACTAGGCTTACTCTAGTCTGGTGGCGAGGAATCGACCGCTCTACAAAGCGCTCACCCTCGGGAGCCGGAGAAATCATCTCCTCGATCGGCCCGTACATCCCCTGGTAGTGGATGGACATACTAGGTGGCACGAATTCATCAGCACCGTCCTGATAAGACAAAAAGGTCAGTAAAACATTACTTGGGGGCTAATTAGTGGAAAGTAAAGCTAAGAAAATCTTACCCTCATATCCTCAGCCGGTACGGGGGCTGGAGCTAACAAAGGTAGTAGATCCTCAGCATAACACCGTCCGAGGATCACAGGGGACAGCCAAGGGGTACCAGCTCCCTCAGACATGCTCGACAACCGCGCCTCGTCGAACATATGACGTGGTGGAGCAACGGGAACGACGAAGACATCAGAAGGGACTATCCAACCGCCCCACGGCCGGTATACCACCTCAGGACCCTATAAAAAGCATCAATTAGGCAAGAATACATCTAAAGCACCGCGGAAAAGCAAGATAAACAATAAAAGTCATACCGAGATGATCCGGTTTCGGACATGTGTAGTGGACTTGTCCACATGATGACTGATAGGGTCGTAAAATATAATTTTTATATATATTAAATTCTTGATTTTATATTGACATTTGATAATTTAATAGTATTATAAGTAATTTTCTTTCGTAGACTTGAGTTACTACTATTTTATTTATTTGGTTGTAGGAAGGAAGATTACGGCACTAAATTACATTTTTACCAACGCTCGGATTAAAAGAAACCAAGACCACATGACCAGATTAAGTCACATTTGTCTCAAGCCCAATAAGATATTATTGTGAATGGGCATACTAGAGGAAAGAGAGCTACAAACCTACAATACTCATCAGAATCTTTTTCTCTTTATTTCGATGAGCAGTGAGGTAGGTTTCTTGAGCGATTTTTGTGGGTACCAAACTGTCAAGCTAGAAAAGATAGAGATGAAATCACATAAGGATGAGAGCGTTCGGGATCAAAGATTTCGGGTGATAAGATTGGGATGCCGAATGGGAAGAAAGGGGGTTGTTTTTGAGATTGGAAGGGGAGAGATTTTTTTAGACTGTTTTTGGAGTAAAGCCGAATTGCATGCGAGAGGAGGCGATCTTCTGGGCAGCGAATTGAGGAAAAAATCAGAAAACAAACTCAGAGCAGTGTAGTAGCGGTGAAGAGAAACAGCATCAGTCGAGAGGACTTAGATGTGTTCTGGAATTTGTCATTTGCTACGGGATTTTTCTGGGCTAGGTTTCAGGAATAAAAACTAAAGAAATTCCTTGGAGCACTGCAACTCGTGTCATAGTCTTGGGTAATCATCAAATTGGTTTTGATACTACATTAGTTTAATATCTCCTTTTACTCTTTGTATTGGATTTCATTTTGGTAATAATAGTCAGAGTTTGATTTCTTATTAAGATATAGGATTGAATTTTATTATTCAGCTAATCATTGGTAAGTTATGGCATTTGTTAAATGTTGGTACTTTGTGCTTCGTTTAGCTACTGCTAGCATTATCAATTTCGATGTTTAATTATTTATATCATATTATGAAGTTTCTTTTTGTACTTGTTATTGTAATTTCAACTCTTAATATGTTAGGCTAATTCATCTTAGGGTAGGGATATATATTATGCATTGGATTATTTTGTTGTGAGAATAGAGATGTTATAATTCTTGGGTATTATGTTTATTTCTTGATTGGGTTGATAATCTGTTTTATTAGTATGAATTACCAGATTATATTTTAGACCGGCCATCTTTAGTATAATTTGCTAGTTTAAATGCTAGAATATTAATCTATGATACGTAATTGTCCGGTTAGTACTCCTTAGTAGCACTTAGGTGTTTAATAGGTGACTGAAACTTGTCCGATGCCTATGATTATCAGCTCTTTAAGTTGCACGAATTTGAGCTTGTGAGATTTGTGGCTTAAGTTAGCTACTTCCTAGTTATTAATGCTGCTAATTAATCGAGTCTAGAGAGCTTGTTCTAGATTGTTAGTTAGTTAGACAATACTCCAAGAGCATGTTTGGTTTATTTGCAATTAAGGGAAGTGTTGAATGTTTGTTTGTGTTCATCGGCTAACATTGAGATAAGAACATAATTTTTATAATTCGATGACCAACAAATACTCCAATGCTATAATATGTCTCCCGATCCCTGTTTTATTATTATTCGTTTTTATCATATTTCAATTTTAGTAGTCTTTCTTTCGTACTTTATTTGTCCCATAGTTCATAGTAGTTTATTTATTAGATCGTAGTACTATTTCTTCAGAACAGGGGTTTCTAACTAACACAAGTTATAATTTAATAAACCAATTCTCTGTGGGATCGACCCTAGCTTACCCTACTACATTTTAGGAGGTTGGAGTTAGGTTTATTTTTGGTAGACACGCGACAGTCGTATCAAATTTTGGCGCCGTTGCCGGGGACTTGGCGTTTTATTTTATTATTTCTTGTGTTTTTCTAACTGTTCTTACTAACTTGTCACCTAGTTCCTTGTTCTTGTATGTGTGACAGAAATTTGAAACATCAAAGATTGAGAAATTTTGCGGCAAGGAACCAGGGACTTATAATTCATCCATTTTCTACTCTTCCTGTAGCTAAAAGGACTCGTGCTCATATACTGGAGCAAGCTCGTCATATTCCGTTACCTCACAGTGAAAGTTCATCTTCGGACGAGGAGGGTGAATATATTTTTGAGATGGGTGATCAAACACTAAAGCAGCTTGCAGCTCCAACGTTTGATCCAAATTTATTGTGCATAGTAGACGATGAGGCAGAAATTGAGATCAAGCCGGGGTTGATTAGAGCTCTTCCCACATTTTCAGGTTTCCGTAATACTAACTCCTTGGGTTCAGTTCACATGAATGAGGCTAGCAGATTTTTGAAGGCATTTCACATAGCATGTGCGGGGATGAAACCGGCTGGTGTCACCCTCGACCAGCTCAAGTTAAAGGCATTTCCTTTTGCCTTGTCTGATGCTGCCAGGGAGTGGTTATTTGAAGTACCTGCTGGAACCATCACAACATGGGATCAAATGCTAAAAGTATTCGCAGAAAGATATTTTCCAGCATCTTTGATAGCTAATATCAGGAAAGAAATATGTGGAATTCGACAAGACGATGCAGAGACACTTCATGAGTACTGGGAGCGTTTCAAGAAACTATGTGATAGTTTTCCAAACCATCAAATCAGTGAGCAATTATTAATACAGTACTTTTACGAAGGACTCAGGGAGACAGACAGGAATTTAGTTGATGCAGCAAGTGGTGGAGCATTGGTTGACAAAACACCCGCAGAGGCAAAGAAACTGATTGTAAACATGGCTGCAAACTCTCAGTATCGAGGAGGTCAAAATATCAAGTCCACCTCTGTACGTCAAGTTAATGAAGTGGTGAGTTCTAACCTTGAGCAACAAGTAGCTAAACTCACTTCCTTAGTGGAGCGAGTAATGATCAAAAGAGGGCAAGAAAAAGTATGTGGCCTTTGTTCAATGGTAGGACACCCAACTGATATGTGTCCTACTCTGCAAGAAGAAGAAGTTAATTCGATTGGTGGTGGTCAGGGGCAGTAAAGACGTTATGATCCATTCTCTCAGACTTATAATCCGGGGTGGAGAGATCATCCAAACCTGAGATATGGTAATGCTCAGCAGCAGGCAGGCAACTCTAACCTCAGACCACCAGCTTTCCAGCAACAGCAAGCTTCTAATCCTCCACCTGGGTTTCATCAGCAACCACAATATCAGCCGCGACCTCAAAATCAGCAAGTTTCCCAGCCACAATCTGGTAGCATGTCTCTGGAAGATATTGTGAAGGCAATGGCTGACAACACTTTGCATTTCCAGAAAGAGACAAGAAGTGGTCTAAAGAACTTGGAGAACCAAGTTTCTCAGTTAGCTAACACAGTAGGAAAGCTCCAAGCTCAGAACTCTAACAAGCTTCCGAGTCAACCAGAGAGAAATCCAAAGGAGAACACGAGTGCAATCTCCCTAAGAAGTGGCAAGCAATTAGAGGTTCCAGCGAAAAAGACTGAAGGGCTGGCAGCACACCAAGAGGAACAAGAGACTATTGTTCCAGAGCAAGATAAGCAGCCCACTAAGGTAAGAGATGTTGTTTCTCCTAATATTGATGAGTTTACTTCTTCTGTTCCATTTCCTAGTAGGTTATCATCTAAGAATAAGAAGAGAGAGCAAGAAAAGGAGAAAGAGACCCTGGACATTTTTCTCAAGGTTGAGGTAAACATACCTTTACTGGAAGCTATAAGACAAGTGCCGCGGTATGCAAAGTTTTTGAAGGAGTTATGCACTAACAAGAGGAGATTGAGTGGAGATGAAAAAGTCAGTGTTAGTGAGAATGTGTCTGCTGTTTTACAGAGGAAAGTTCCTCCAAAGTGCAAGGATCCAGGTATTTTTACTATACCATGTAAAATAGGTAACACGAGATACGATAAATGCATACTAGACTTAAGAGCTTCTATTAATGTCATGCCTTTATATATCTATAAAGCTCTAAACTTAGGACCTTTGAAAGACACTCGAGTGATTATTCAGCTTGCTGACCGTTCTAATACATACCCTGTAGGAGTAGTCGAGGATGTTTTAGTGCAAGTGAATGAACTGGTGTTTCCTGCTGACTTTTATGTTTTAGATATGTCAAATGATGAATCCCCTAGTGCAGCACCTATCTTATTAGGAAGACCTTTTCTGAAAACATCTAGAACTAAAATTGATGTTCACAGTGGGGTGTTGACCATGGAATTCGATGGGGAGGTTATCCGGTTTAATTTATTTGATGCCATGAGATATCCCTCTGATTGTGAATCTGTTTCTAGTATAGATGTCATTGATGCACTAACTGAGCAAGTATTCTTTCTCTCTGGTCATGATGGGTTAGATGTTGTTTTGACTGGGCCTATGGAAAAAGAAAAGTATACTGACTTGCAGGAACATTTTGAGCTTAAGGGGGAAGTTAAGGAAGCTTTTTCCTCTCTGGAAATACTTCCCGATAAGCAGTCAAGGTATGACAAACAGTTTATGCAGTTACCTGTCACTTCTAACAGATTGTTACCTTCTATTGTACAGGCCCCTGAAGTGGAACTAAAGCCACTACCAGACCATCTCAAGTATGCGTTTTTGGGAGAAAATGACACTCTGCCAGTCATAATCGCGAGTAATCTAACTCCGAATCAAGAGCAAAAGCTGGTGCAAGTTCTGAAGGAGCATAAAACAGCTCTAGGGTGGACGGTTGCTGATATAAAAGGAATTAGTCCCTCTATGTGTCAGCACAGAATCTTATTAGAAGTGGTAGCTAAACCCGTGAGACAAGTGCAGCGACGACTTAATCCACCTATGATGGAAGTGGTGAAGAAAGAAGTAATGAAGCTTCTTGAAGTAGGGGTGATATACCCTATATCAGATAGCCCTTGGGTCAGTCCCTTGCAAGTGGTCCCAAAAAAGTCAGGAGTCACAGTGGTGGAAAACGATAAGGGAGAAATGGTTCCCACCCGAGTACAAAATGGGTGGAGAGTTTGTGTAGATTACAGAAAACTCAATTCTTTGACTCGAAAAGATCATTTTCCCTTACCCTTTATTGATCAAATGGTAGAGCGTCTTGCTGGTCATGCTTATTACTGTTTTCTTGACGGTTTTTCAGGTTATGTGCAGGTCCCTATAACTCCGGAGGATCAAGAAAAAACGACGTTCACATGCCTGTACGGCACATTTGCGTATCGTCGTATGCCATTTGGACTGTGCAATGCTCCAGCGACTTTTCAGAGATGTATGGTAAGCATCTTTTCAAATTACCTTGAAAATTTCATAGAAGTTTTCATGGATGATTTCACTGTACATGGAGATTCTTTTGATAGATGCTTAGAACACCTCACTTTGGTCCTTAAACGTTGTCTTGAAACTAACCTTGTGCTTAATTCTGAAAAATGTCATTTCATGGTTCAACAAGGTATAGTTTTAGGCCATATTGTGTCGTCTGAAGAAATAAAAGTTGATAAAGCTAAAATAGATCTTATTTCTTCTCTGCCTTACCCCGCCTCTGTGCGGGAAGTTCGATCTTTTCTTGGCCATGCAGGGTTCTATCGCAGGTTTATTGAAGGATTCTCGAAGATTGCGCAACCACTATGCAGACTACTCCAAAAAGATGTGGAGTTCCATTTTGATGAGACCTGTAAGCAGGAATTTGACAAGCTGAAAGACAAGTTGGTCACTGCCCCTGTTCTACAACCTCCTAACTGGGAGCTCCCATTCGAGTTGATGTGCGACGCTTCTAATTATGCTGTAGGAGCGGTGCTAGGCCAGCGAGTTGGAAAAGTTCCCCATGCCATCTACTATGCCTCAAGGACTTTGGATGCGGCTCAAGCTAATTATAGTACAACTGAGAAAGAACTTTTAGCTGTAGTTTTTGCTTTAGACAAATTCAGGTCTTATTTATTGGGTACTAAAATTGTTGTGTTTACTGACCATGCAGCGCTGAAATATCTGTGGTCAAAAGATGTATACAAACCTAGGCTAATACGTTGGATATTATTGCTTCAACAATTTAATGTTGAAATAAAAGATAAAAAAGGTTCTGACAATAGTGTTGCTGATCATTTGAGCAGGTTAGTTATTGAAGCTGATGAAGGTAAAGTCCCAATCAATGAAGAGTTCCCCGATGAGCAGCTTCATGCCTTGAACTCAAGAACTCCATGGTATGCTGATTTGGTGAATTTTTTTGTATCCGGGAAGTTTCCAGCCAGCTACACAAAAGCACAGAAGGACCGGATGCGTAGTATAGCAAAATACTACATATGGGATGACCCATACCTCTGGAAATACTGTGCTAATCAACTGATCAGAAGGTGCGTACCTGATTCTGAAATTCTTTCTATACTAACTTTCTGCCATTCTTATGCATGTGGGGGACATTTTGGACCAAAGAGAACCGCACGCAAGGTTTTAGAGAGTGGATTCTATTGGCCATCCATATTTAAAGATGCATACGAAATCTGTAAGGCATGTGATAGTTGTCAAAGAACAGGTACACTAGGTCCTAGGAATGAAATGCCCCAAACTCCTATCTTAATATGTGAAATCTTCGACGTTTGGGGTATGGGTTTCATGGGGCCTTTCCCCTCTTCTTTTGGTTTTCAATATATTTTGCTTGCTGTCGATTATGTCTCGAAATGGGTGGAAGCTATAGCCACCCGTACTGATGATTCTAAAGTTGTTGCAGAATTTTTGAACTCAAATATTTTTTCCAGATTCGGATTCCCGAGAGCCATCATCAATGACAAGGGGACACACTTTTGCAATAAGACAATAGGAGCTCTCTTGAAGAAGTATAATGTGTTTCATCGAGTGTCCACTGCATATCACCCACAAACAAATGGACAGGCAGAAGTCTCCAATCGAGAAATCAAGTCCATTCTAGAGAAGACTGTGAATCCAAACAGGAAAGATTGGAGTCTCCGCCTCAACGAAAATTTAGCTCTGTTTTATTCTATCGTCATTTTTTTCAATTTTATAGCTCTGTTTAAAAAAAAAAAAAAAAAGAAAAAAAAGAAAAAAAAAATTCAGCTTAGATATTTCGTTTGCTCCTACTTTGAAGCCCCCTATAATATTCAGGAAACTAATTCTGTTTTTATTTGGCATAAGTTGTTGCAGGACAGTGGGATTGGTTGGACCCAATGGTGAAGTTAAAGCTGCGCTGATACAACACCTGCTTATATCCAAAAATGTTTGCAGCAAGAAAATATGAACATATTGAAGCTTGGGGGGATACCATCAGGCAGTACCCTACCATATTCAACTCATCCGGTGAGCTCGTTTCCTTGTCTCTTCCTATTTCTATCCCCTTATTTTTTTTACAGTCACACATTGAGGGCAATGTGTGGATTAAGCTTTGGGGGAATGCGTTATGTTCAGTCTCTTGGTATGTCTCTGTTGTGGTATGGTATTATATTGAGTCTAATAATGAAATTTAGACAGTGCATTGCATATGAACATTACATTCACTCTACAATGCTTAACTTTGCTAATAGACTTGTATATATATCAAAAAAAAAAAAAAAAAACAAAAAAAAAAACAAAAAAAAAAATGATTTGGCCCTGTTCTATCCTTGATTCAAGTCTTGAGGATCTTTGATTTACTCCACTACAGTGTTGACGGAAGGTAGGCTGTAATTGTTTTAAGAGTTGATAATTGATTTTGTAATCATAAAAATGATTTGCCCCCTACATATATACTTGACTTGACGCTGTTATTGAGCAAAGTAGAGTGATTATTACAGAATGCTTAGCTGGTCTGATGTGTCAATATATTTGGCTTGAAATTGTAATTGAGCAAGAGTGGAGTAATTGTAACATGTCAGGTTGCATACTATTATATCAAGAGTCTAACTTCTCTGTAATTTCATGCCTTTGCTTGAGGACAAGCAAAATATTAAGCTTGGGGGTGTTTGATAGGGTCGTAAAATATAATTTTTATATATATTAAACTCTTGATTTTATATTGACATTTGATAATTTAAGAGTATTATAAGTAATTTTCTTTCGTAGACTTGAGTTACTACTATTTTATTTATTTGGCTGTAGGAAGGAAGATTACGGCACTAAATTACATTTTTACCAACGCTCGGATTAAAAGAAACCAAGACCACATGACCAGATTAAGTCACATTTGTCTCAAGCCCAATAAGATATTATTGTGAATGGGCATACTAGAGGAAAGAGAGCTACAAACCTACAATACTCATCAGAATCTTTTTCTCTTTATTTCGATGAGCAGTGAGGTAGGTTTCTTGAGCGATTTTTGTGGGTACCAAACTGTCAAGCTAGAAAAGATAGAGATGAAATCACATAAGGATGAGAGCGTTCGGGATCAAAGATTCCGGGTGATAAGATTGGGATGCCGAATGGGAAGAAAGGGGGTTGTTTTTGAGATTGGAAGGGGAGAGATTTTTTTAGACTGTTTTTGGAGTAAAGCCGAATTGCATGCGAGAGGAGGCGATCTTCTGGGCAGCGAATTGAGGAAAAAATCAGAAAACAAACTCAGAGCAGTGTAGTAGCGGTGAAGAGAAACAGCATCAGTCGAGAGGACTTAGATGTGTTCTGGAATTTGTCATTTGCTACGGGATTTTTCTGGGCTAGGTTTCAGGAATAAAAACTAAAGAAATTCCTTGGAGCACTGCAACTCGTGTCATAGTCTTGGGTAATCATCAAATTGGTTTTGATACTACATTAGTTTAATATCTCCTTTTACTCTTTGTATTGGATTTCATTTTGGTAATAATAGTCAGAGTTTGATTTCTTATTAAGATATAGGATTGAATTTTATTATTCAGCTAATCATTGGTAAGTTATGGCATTTGTTAAATGTTGGTACTTTGTGCTTCGTTTAGCTACTGCTAGCATTATCAATTTCGATGTTTAATTATTTATATCATATTATGAAGTTTCTTTTTGTACTTGTTATTGTAATTTCAACTCTTAATATGTTAGGCTAATTCATCTTAGGGTAGGGATATATATTATGCATTGGATTATTTTGTTGTGAGAATAGAGATGTTATAATTCTTGGGTATTATGTTTATTTCTTGATTGGGTTGATAATCTGTTTTATTAGTATGAATTACCAGATTATATTTTAGACCGGCCATCTTTAGTATAATTTGCTAGTTTAAATGCTAGAATATTAATCTATGATACGTAATTGTCCGGTTAGTACTCCTTAGTAGCACTTAGGTGTTTAATAGGTGACTGAAACTTGTCCGATGCCTATGATTATCAGCTCTTTAAGTTGCACGAATCCGAGCTTGTGAGATTTGTGGCTTAAGTTAGCTACTTCCTAGTTATTAATGCTGCTAATTAATCGAGTCTAGAGAGCTTGTTCTAGATTGTTAGTTAGTTAGACAATACTCAAAAAGCATGTTTGGTTTATTTGCAATTAAGGGAAGTGTTGAATGTTTGTTTGTGTTCATCGGCTAACATTGAGATAAGAACATAATTTTTATAATTCGATGACCAACAAATACTCCAATGCTATAATATGTCTCCCGATCCCTGTTTTATTATTATTCGTTTTTATCATATTTCAATTTTAGTAGTCTTTCTTTCGTACTTTATTTGTCCCATAGTTCATAGTAGTTTATTTATTAGATCGTAGTACTATTTCTTCAGAACAGGGGTTTCTAACTAACACAAGTTATAATTTAATAAACCAATTCTCTGTGGGATCGACCCTAGCTTACCCTACTACATTTTAGGAGGTTGGAGTTAGGTTTATTTTTGGTAGACACGCGACAGTCGTATCAATGACCGCCCCAAGAGGCGCTCACTGGAAATCCCCGCGGCGATGGTCTCGCCGGCGCAACAGAAGGAAAATACTCGTAGAACCAGATCTACAAGGAGTTAAAAGTGTGAGCAAAGGCTAACTAATATGCAGAGCTAAACTTTATAGGGAATAAATGTTTACCTCTACGACCTTCCAAAAGGCAGACAAAGCAACGTTCATCCCAAAGGACCGGTGGCGACACAAGTCCCTCAGCGCACGAACGAAGTCAGCATAGGCCAAGCTAGCCCAATCATAAGTCCCGATCCGGTGAAGATTACGGACAGCAAGAAGATAGTAAAGCAACACTCTACTACCTTTGTTAGGGGAGAATGTCCCTGACAACAATATCAGCACAACGATGCGCACCCGCTGCTCTCGGGTGGTCGCATCGTCATCAAGAGCCGCTGCCAGCGTCGAGCGGCGAATTCCTCTAGTACTAAACTGAGTTGTCTCGACCTCAGCTCGGACCCGAATAGCGATCGGCCCCAACAGCTCCTCGACCTCCAAAGAAAAGACGTCGATTCCACTATCAAACGACAGTGGAACAGAAGTGAACTCCAGTCCTGTGATGAGACTGAAGTCCGTAGGGGTGACCATCATCTCGCCCCGGGGGAAATGGAAGGTGTTGGTGGTGTTCCAGAAGAACTCCACCAAAGCGCGCACTACGTGATGACCCCCGCTGGAGGCAACCATAGCCTCGGAGGTCTCGAACAAAGTTGCTAGTCCACAAGACTCCCATAGGAGTCTCGTCTCAAGATCCCTAGCGATGTGCATCTTGTACAAATCGCCCAAACCATCACAGCCAGGCCGTGATGTCGTGTCCTCCCGGGGGTGATGCCCTGTCTCACCCTCTCAGAAATGTAGTGGACAGGGGCGAAGAACAAGGTCCGCTCATCCCACTCCGGAAGTCGACCAAGAGAAGTGGAAGGCGTGATGTCATCCTCCACGGGTTCCTGCTCCCGTCTAGTGTTTTGGGACCGTGAACCTGACCCTCGTTGTCTAGCAATGCTACATTGTGCAAAATTTTGAAATGTAGTATCTAAAGTTTTCCTAGCCGCATGATACTATGTTCACAAAAACAGAGTACGTAGTACTAAAACAGAGCACAAATTCAAATTAAGCATGACAACATTTTTCAAGCAATCAAACAAATTGGACAAGAATTGCTAGCAAAAATGTCAAGAACGAGTCACATTGTTCTTCACGACCTTAATAGGTCCAACAATGGCAAATTGCTCATTTCTTCACCAAATTAAGTCAAACAAGTCTCAAATTACTCCCAAGGCAATATACAAACATAATCAAGCAATTTCATGGCATAAAACTTGACAAACAAAGCAAATTGAGCATTATAAATTTCGAATTTTCATGAAATTCGTAAATAAACATGCCAAGAATTCGTAAAAACTGATATGAGTTTGAAGAAAACTTACATAGATCAGGAAAATAGATGAAAAGAGCTTTGATTTGCAACAAATTTGAGCGAATTCGGTTGAGAAACGAGCAAGCAATGAGCAATTGAAGCTTTCGGGTTTCTTCGAGCAGTTTCGCGACGAACAAAGCAGCAAAATGAAGAGGAAGGGGGTATTTAAGGAAATCCCCGTGCTGGCGCTAGGCCCTATGCATTGGCGTCACAAATTTGGCTTGGCGCCTGGCGCCAATATCAGCGCCTAGCGCTAATGCTAATAAGGTGGCGCTTATGGTTTTTCAGTGGCGCCAAAGCATCCAGCCACCTGATGAGGTTGTGCTAGCCTTCTGCAACATATTTTTTGGTTCCTTGGTACGCCAGTTAACCCCTCTAAGCAATTTGACATGATTTAGTAATCGGCTTGATTACATAAAGTGATCAACCTGACAAGAGATCGTCTCACTTAGCTTAAAGCGCCTAAGCATTGGCTCATTAGCAAAAGGCACTGACATATAGGTTCGAGAGCAAAAGAGCACCGACATACAGGTTCAAAGCAACGGAAGCGCCGACGTATAGGCATAGCGGAAGCAAAGTTCAGGCAAACTTTTAAAGATCGACAGGCGTGGATCTTCGGTAATTTCCTTTGGAAAATTATCGCATCAAATGAAGGTGACTTCAAGAGAAGATATCTTCGACGGCATTCCCTAGCTTGCGGAAAGTTGTCATGAACAACTGGAGGTAATTTTGGGCGAAGTTATCTTCGATGGTATTCCCTAGGATGTGGAATATTATCAATGCGGATGGAGATTGTTTCAAGAGAAATAATCTTCGATAGTATTTCCTAGGATGTGGAATACTATCATTGCAGAGGAGGATCATTTCAGGCGAAGCAATCTTCTAATTTGGAAGCAGTTACAGGCATAGCGGTTTTCAAGCGGGATGGCATTCTCTAGCTTGCAGGAGGTCATCAAAACAACAAGGATATAGCAGCAAATCGGTTACTTTCAGAGACGTGTGCTCGAGGGTGCAAGATACGCGTTTCTTAACTCTTTTATCTGTTTAACTAATGCTAGTTTTGCAGGTATCGGCGTTGCAAGATTGATTTAGGATCGCAGAACGTTCTAAATCATTCTCCGTCCCTATCGATACTTTGACTTTCGTTTTTCGAAACTTGCGTTTCTCCAAACTCAGTCAAAGTGGGGGCTTCTGTAGACACCCATTTGTGTCTCCCCAAAACCAAACCCAGTGATGAGTATCTTTCACGTTGAATCATAATCGAATGAAACGAAAGTGTGGAAAGGTCTAGTGTTGCAGAAAGTTTTAATTTCTTTTCTCTTCTCTCTGTTTTTGAAAACTTATTTTAAGAAAACAGCCAATCCAGTTTGGTTGATCCATGATATGGGTCCAATAGTAGTGTAGTTGGATGGGGCTTGCAAAGACCTTTCCAAAGATATATTATAAGCCCAATTCCGATGAATATTGAGGAAGTTATGGCCAATCTACTAAACTGGGCCCGGTTTGAGCTTTATGTACGGCCCAATGATATAGGGGAGGGCCTAATATGATTTATCATTCCTAATGCAATTAGGAATGGTTTTAGTCTTCTAGATTCTTCTAGAAGGTTCTTTTCATTCCTAATTCAATTAGCATTGATAAATTGACTTTTGTTGACTTTTAAGAGTTTTAATTAAAATCAAATAGAATTTTCGAGGAAATTATATTATTTTATTCTCCAGTACGGTAAACTTATCGGATTTTTGAAAACGCGTTGGAATCAGGCTTGGCGCCTAACCCCAGGCCTTGGCGCCTGAAAACAGGCCTGGCTCCTGGCGCTAGCCATTGCCGCCTGGCGCTAGTGTTGGCGCCTAGCGCCAGCTAGCCAGGGTTGGCGCCAGCTCTGTTTTTAATGCGTTAGACTCTGTTTTGTTAATTTATCTTTCTTGGCTGATTTTCTCTATAAATATTGTATTAAAAACTCCGTTTTGATTCATGAAGATTCATCAACATGTAGGAGTTTATAGGTACTACGCAGCGGAAAAACATGAATCATATTCAATCAAGTACCAATCCCAAGAATCACATGCATAACACACAAGACACATAATCATACCTTTGACGCGTGAATTCCACGAAGCTATTCGACGGGCAAATCAGGGAGAGAATAGAGCCCCAAGCGTTGCTCCTCTACTTAGTCCACGAGATTCGAACGAGCCGTCCACCAATACTAGATTGGTCGAGTGATTGAGGAGAACCGCGATCACCACCTTTACGGACAACCGACCACCGCACGAACCACCACCACCATGACACACCACCGGCGCCTAGGAGGAGGAGAGAGTCGTGAGAGAGAGAGAGAGGACTTTGAGAGGGTTGGGTTTCGTGTTTGCTAATTAGGGTTTGATCACACTGATCAGTTAATTGCTTCCTTACTGCAAACCTAGGCACCTAGTCTATTTATAATCTCATTATAATTAGACTAGGGCACGAAGCCCAAAACTCCTTCTAATCCACTACATGGCCGACTACCTAGAGTGATGAGGCCCATGATGCGCCTCGTCCTCTAATGCTCGATCTAGCCCCTTTGTGTGACCTTATAGGATCCGTCCAATTGGGCTTTGGCCTATTTTACTAGTCCAAAGATCGTTAGTACCTCTACCTATGGCAAAACGACAATCCAAATGTACGAACTTAATTATCTCCATAATTTGATCCAATTATATATCTAG